AGGTTTTAGAAACAAACGTTTTAGATAAAAATTATAAGATTTAAAAAGATCTATCTATTGGTCTTATCAGTTCGATTTTGAATGGCGTCGCCAAGGAGGTGAGGTCAAGATTACATCTATTTTTTAAAATAAAAGTCCCCATTTTTTGTTGCATATTCTTAGCTTATTTTAAAGGTTCTTCAAAATACTATATCAACATATCTTTTCATTAAGTATTTTTCGAGTCTTGAGGCTTGAATGTTACAATACCACCGATGTTATCTTTATCCAAGATATCCGACATTTAAAATCTTTTAAATGTTGTTCAGAATCATGACCTGACTAAATACAAACATGTTAAGATCATGATCACTGGAGATTGTTCATCTTATTTTTACTTTTATGTAAAAATGAGAGAGAGAAATTTTAGTAAAACAATAAACACAGAGAGACAACGGACCATATACTATATATCATTCATAAATCTACAGTACATATGGGATCATGGGATGTCCCAAAGTTCGTAACTCAAAATACTACACCAAGAAATTTTTCGAAAAATAAAATTTCCGAAAAAGAGTTATTAGTATATTTTTATTTCAAGCATTAGAGATACAAGGGTTTAAATGCGACCAATTACGTTTTAAATAGTTACTTATGAGTGATTATGCTAAATCACAATGCATTCACGAAATCGTTTTAAAGTCGCAAGAGTGATTGCAACATCCAATCAGAGGCATCAATAGTTGATATTCTGACTGCCTGTCGCATAGATTTCGCATTTGTGAACTCGCTGAAGTACCTTTTTTTTAATTAATATTATTACACGCGCGGCTCAGAAGATAGTCATTTAAACGTAGTCGACAATTATAATAGCCATATTTAAACTCTTATTATTTAAAAAATTACTTAAAATAAAAATTTACAACTAATGTTTTACTTAATTTTTTAGAACTTCATTGCTACAAGTATTTTGTGAAATTTGAGACAACCTATATATATTAGCGTTCCATAAGATACTTATTAAGACATTCTCAAAGTAAGAATCGATTATAAATACCGGCTTATATATGTTATGTCAAGTAGATAATAACTATCAATGTTTCCGGATAAACAAGCAGGCTAAGCATAGCATGCTGCATTAATTGCGTTCTATTTTTGAACTACTTGAGTAATAATTATTATTAATTATATGCATGTGTAAAGGATTTAAAACGTATGCAACAGGAAATGTTTTACGATCCGTTACAAAGTCATAACTAATTGAAACCGATATCTTTCCGGAATAGAAGGGTGGGACGGATAAATATATAAAGTAGCGTTAATATCGCCTTATCGCACAGTACTTGCTTAAATGCCGCTACATTACAGATTTCACTCTCATAAATGTAATATTGCGTTTCGTATCGCTTGAGATTATAAATTTTGCCATTTTGTGAACATCATTCAATATTGTTATACTATCACAGTAAGTAATTATATATTTGATAAACCCAAACCATTATTGTTGTACATAATTCGAAAAGATAACCAATGTCTTAATTCTACTTTTTTTTTTCTTTTCTTCTCACAAAACTTAATTCCTTTAAAAGGAACTATTTAATTGCAAATGCAAATATAGATCCATTAACTAATAATTACATTAGATTCATAATATTATTGTCTTAGATTATGTAACGTAATGTAGCAATTTAATGTGATCGGATTTAATTTACTTATGACTGCTTGCTGAGCACTACTGGATGCATCCAGTCTGAAAAATCTTATTTATTTTAGATGTCTTTTGCGGGAAAAGTTGTTCTGATAACAGGGGCCAGTTCAGGAATTGGAGCTGAAACAGCTATTCACTTTGCTCAGCTTGGTGCATCGTTGTCGATAACAGGACGTAATAAACAAAATTTAGAAAAGGTAGCCGAACAATGTGGAAAATCTAAACCGTTCATTGTAACCGGAGATCTAGCCAATGAAAATGATGTGAAAAATATTATCGATTCGACGATCAAGCATTATGGCAAATTAGATGTTTTAGTTAATAACGCTGGAATTGTAAGATTCGGTAATATAGAAATTCCATTGGAACACTACGACAAGTATGTAATAAGTTTCAAGTCTTTATATACATTATTAACTTATCAACTTATCATATCGTCTGTTCTATCGAAAAACTTTCTGAGATATTCTCTGAATTAGAAACTGGTGCACATAGCACAATAAGTTGATCAAGTGAAACAAATATACGTCTAATTTACTTCAATTTATTGCATCTTGCATGTGGTGGATTAATTCCAGGTTAGAGAATTTATCAATAAATAATAAACGATGTGATAAGTCAATAATATGTATAAATACGTACGGATATTGATAAACTGTATTCTAGTTTGAAAATATGTTAATTTTATAAAAACATCTCTATTAAAAAAGATCACGTCACACAGTTTCATGATGAAATCATGTAATTAAAATTATATAAATTACGTAACAGATTATTCCAAATCAATATGATTTTAAAATTACGTATATTTTGAAAAGTCATATGATAAGATATGTTCTTTTTTCTTCTATTTTTATTATTTAATTCTTCAAAATTTAATAATTATAAAATGACATAATGGATAAAATTATTTGCGTAAATCATATGATTTTTTAAATTATATTATTTTAAAAAATCACTTACTGATCTGAGACAATCCATAACGTGATTTACATATTTTAATTACATGATTTCATCACCAACATTGTGACATGGTTTTTTTCAGTAGAGATATTTTCATTATAAATTTATTTTCAGTATTATGAACGTAAATGTTCGTTCGGTATTCCAATTGACAGCACTGGCAGTACCATATTTAATCAAAACCAAAGGCAACATTGTAAATGTTTCAAGCGTGGCTGGATTACGACCACTGAAGAATAGTCTGCCATATTGCATGAGTAAGGCGGCTCTGGATCAATTTACGCGTTGCGTTGCTTTAGAATTGGCATCACGACAGGTGCGTGTAAGCAAGATAATGACTGTTTTTTTTTTTTAACAATAGGACTATAAATAATAATTAGCGTTATATTATTATTTTTAAAATACGATATAGGTGCGTGTGAATTCCGTAAATCCTGGCGCTGTACAAACAAATATCATTGAAAACATTGGACTGAGCCAAGAACAAATTAAAATCCATTATGAGAAGTTGAAAGGGATGCATGCTTTAGGAAGAATCGGCGACTCTTTGGAAATCGCAAAAACTATTGCATTTCTAGCAAGTGACGATGCTAGTTTTATGACAGGGGTGACATTGCTTGTAGATGGAGGTTTGCATATTGTGCCTCCCGAGGGTGTTGCGATACATTAAAATAATATGTAACATACGTCTAACATAGGGCGCAAAATTTGGAAGAGCACAAAATTTAAATAGACATCAATAATTTTTAGAGCGTTCATGTATACTAAACATACTCGAAATATTGTCAATAACTGAGATCAGAAAATGTAATTTTATGTTGTAATAATTACAAAATATATATACAACAAAAAATGAAATATCTTTTATTAATATACATGGTATAAGTTAAAGATGAATCCAAAAATAAAATATAAAATTATTAAAATTAATAAAATTTTTCTTTTTATTTTCATTATTCGTTCGTTGCGATTCACACAGCAAGTGTGAAAAATTAGCGGATTTGTGTTTCAGAAACTTAGCAATTCTCTAATTGAGGCGTAAAAGCAAATTCCGTCTAAGATAGTGTAAAGCTTCCATTGTCTTCTAAAAACCTCCTTATATCATTTATCTAAATTTATCTAAATTTCTAATCAATACGTGATATATACATATTTTTTTATATATATACATATATAAAGTACGTCATACATACGTATACATACGAGATACGGAAAAATTAGTAGGATCCCGACATATCTCGAAAAGTATGAGTTTTATACAAAAAATATTCAGATAAAAGTTGTAAGGTTTAAAAAGATCTATCTACCGATCTTATCAGTTTAACCTTGATAGGATCGTCAAGAGAACGTGTTACATCTATTTTTTTTAATATAAACTCCCATTTTTTACATATTCTTGTAGCTCATTTTGAGAGCTCTTCAAAATATTAAATCAACATACTTTTTATTGAGGATTTTTCGAGTTATGAAGCTTTAAAATTATGATGCCATTGGCAGTATTCAAGGTGCCTGATTGACGGTTAAAATTTTTTGAATGTTGTTCAAAATCATCACTTGGATATTAAAATTTGTCAAGATTTAGACCATTAAAGATTGTTTCTCTTATTTTTTGTTATTTTATGTAAAAATGAATTTTTAGTACAAAACAAACAACGGATTATAAATATCAGTTATAAAGCAGTGCACGGTATATCCCAAAATTCGTGACTCAAAATACTACAGTAAGAAATTTCTCAAAAATTAAGTTTCAGAGGTAAAGCTTGTGTACATTTTTAAATTTGTATATTAATTTTAAACATTAGTTTTAGAGATACAAAGTTTTAGATTATGACCAATTACAAAGTACGTTTATATAAACGTAATATTTTTAAAAAGCGATAGAAAATAATACTATTTCCAAGGCAAAAATCGTTTTCTATCATAATTTATCATAAAATCTGTATAAATAACAGGCAAATGAGAAATTTGCAGCTCTAGCTTCGAAATGAAAAATCCTATATAGCATCCTTTAGCAATCTTACATATATGCATACAAAATCCTTTCAACTAAATTCTAGTCACCTTCAACAAAGTAAATAAATTTTACATGGTGTTTATTAGTCATTACATAAATGTAATAATTCCCCTACATATATGTAAGATTGCTGAATATAGGATTTTTCATTTCGCAACTAGAACTGCATATTTAGTGTTCTTATTTGCCCGTTATTTATATAATTTTGATATTTGAATTTTGAGAGTTACGTGTCACGTTACTTTTGTTAACGTCACATTTTTTAAATAAAGTTTTTCTACACATTTTTTCCTAAACATTTCTGATAAATCTTGTTTCTGCTACTTATTATCTTATCTGCTTTTATCTATCGTTTTTTTTTAGTCTTTTTTATTTCTTTTTTAGTCTTTTACTCTTAATATCCGTTTTATCAGATATTTCATGATATCTCTTTCATTCCTAAATGGATTTATAAGTCGTCGACACTCACATATCTCAGTTTCTTTCATTCCTCATCACGTGTATTTTTGGTATTCAAAAATATTATGTTATTGGTTAAAATTTATCGGAATCTTCGCCTGTTTTTTTTATATCGTAGTAATAAGATCCCTCTAATTTTAATCGAGTCAGTTTATTCTTGTAAGACAGACTGACTCAATCAAAATCAGTGTGTCTGATATATCAGACAGATAATATCTGTCTGATAATACACAGACATTATAATATTATATATTAGATGCTAATAATATATCTCCGACTTGGTTTATAAGCTTGTCAGTATCATCGTTGAATAAAGTTTGATTAGATGACAAGTGTCGAACCTTTTTAATACTTTACATATCCAGTAAACAATTTTTCATGCATGAATATGTATAAATATGTATAAACACGCATAAATATTCATAAATATATATAATTATATATGAAATATGTCCATACATGTTTATATATCCTTCTTTCTTATGTAAAAATACTTTTTAGTGTAATAGGAATAATAATGTGAAAACATAAAAATATTTAAAGCGATAATTTTCGCATTGTTTATTTTAGAAAAAAACAGAGCCTATATATATCTGTTCATATTTGATTGTAATTTATCATTTTATACAATAATATTTCGAAAAAAATATCGTTTTCTATCATTTTTTTTTTAATTTTTTATTGAGTTTATTGAAAGCGGATTCAATTATACGATCGAATTTTTTTGATAATTTGTTTTTCTTTTCAATTTTATGAAATATATTAAGTAGTAAACAAAAATCTAATTAATTTATTTTCAATAAAGCAAATTCAAAATTTTCCATTTACATTTATACATAGCGTATAATTACGAAAGAGAAAACTTTTCAAACAAAACAAGTTATAATATAATGTTAAAATGATATTAAAATTAATCGAAAAATAACTTAATTTTGACAATCATTTTGGATTTTATACATTTTGGATTATTTTCACATTAATATGACTTTTTGTGGTGTTTGAACTATAATTAATTATTAATATTATTATTAATTATGTATACAAGCAAATAAACGATTTAAAACGTATCTTACAGCAAAATGTTATGACATGAATGTACTTTACACCGTTTTTTATTAGCTGAAAGAGTAGGGATTGTATCAATATATAAAGTCAATTTAGTCATGTTATTTTATGACGTTTCCTTATCATTAATGATAGAGACATCTCGCTATTGCACTTCGCTGTTACAAACGCGATACTGTATTTTGCGTTCAAGATTATTTGAGTTCTATCGTTTTGAAAATATCATTCAATATCGTTGTAAATATCACAGTAAGTATTTATATTTTTTAAAAATACAAATCACATTGTTTTACATAATTTGAAACAATAACCGTTGTGCCTTAAAACTTTAAATGTCTTTTTTCTTTTCCTTTCGGAAAACTTATTTTATTTAAAAAAAAAATATTTTTGCTGATTTATATTTGCAAATACGAATATATATTATCATTATCTATATAATAATAATATATAGGCCTGGTAAACAATTTTTTATGCATGGATATGTATAATTATGTATAAACCTATAAACGTACATAAACACGCATAAAAATGTAAAAATATTGCTCATACATAATTATGCATAATTTTATATATAATATACGTAAATAATTTTTTTACATTTCTTCAAACTGACTTGATTTTTTAAAAAACAAATAGTGCGAAAATTACCTTTTTAATTATTTTTAATGTTTTTACATTACTATTATTATTTCTATTACACTAAAAAATAATTTTACAAAAGAAAAAAGAATGTATGAATATGTACGAACATATTTCATATATATGTATATAATTATATATGTTTATGAATAATTATATGTTTATGTATGTTTATATATAATTATACATGTTCATGCGTGATAAATTTTTATATTACATTTTTATTATTAATGTCTTAGATTATATGACGTAATGTAATAATTTAATGTGATTCATTAGATTTAAATAAGAATCAACAACATTCTATTGCTACAATTATAGCCACTTGATGAGCGACTATAGCGCTATTGAATACATCCAGTCTGAAAAATATTATCTATTTTAGATGTCTTTTGCGAGAAAAGTTGTTCTGATAACAGGGGCCAGTTCAGGAATTGGAGCTGAAACAGCTATTCACTTTGCTCAGCTTGGTGCATCGTTGTCGATAACAGGACGTAATAAACAAAATTTAGAAAAGGTAGCCGAACAATGTGGAAAATCTAAACCGTTCATTGTAACCGGAGATCTAGCCAATGAGAATGATGTGAAAAATATCATCGACTCGACAATCAAGCACTATGGCAAATTAGATGTTTTAATTAATAATGCTGGAACTTGGGAAGCCGGTGGTATAGAGACCACAAGCTTGGAAAAATATGATAAGTATGTACTAATAAGTGACTTATTTATATGTATAAACATTTATATGTATAAACATTAATATTGATAAATTATATTCTCTATTTTGAAAACACATTGATATCAAAACGTACTTTTAACGTAAATCTGTTTTCAGTATTATGAACATAAACGTTCGTTCGGTATTCCAATTGACAGCATTAGCAGTGGCACATTTAGTCAAAACGAAAGGCAACATTGTAAACGTTTCTAGCTTAACTGGATTACGACCAGGAGTAGGTTTTTTGGCATATTACATGAGTAAGGCGGCTCTAGACCAATTTACGCGTTGCGTTGCTTTAGAATTGGCATCACGACAGGTGCGTGTAGGGATAATAATGACTGTTTCTTTTTTTTCCGACAATAGCAATTTTAAATATTATTTTACCTCATATTATTTTAAATGTAAAAATAGGTGCGAGTTAATGCCGTAAATCCTGGCCTTATAGAAACAAACATCTTTCGGAACTCTGGAATGAATCAAGAACAGCTTAAAAACTTTTTCAAGAAGCTGCAAAAGATACATGCTTTAGGAAGAAATGGTGATACTTCGGAAGTCGCAAAGGTCATTATATTTCTAGCAAGTGATGATGCTAGTTTTATCACAGGGGTGACATTGCCTGTAGATGGAGGTGCGCATGCTCTGTCTCCTGTTTCTATACAATCTGACTAAACGATATATACAGGATTTGATAGTAACTTGTTATATAATAAATAAGTTTAATGTTAAATAAAAGTTAAAAAGTTAAATAATATATATTTAGCTTAATTTATATATATAATTAATTTTAAATAAATTATAATATGTTTTAAGTTAGTATAGTTACTTTTAAATGTGTGTGATGCTCGTATAGTGTTCAAAAATGAACATAGAAAGTTGACAAACTTAGTGTATAATGCTATTGCGTCTATTCTTACTTTATATTTGAGTTTAGTTAATTTGTTGTAAACTATATATATAATCATTTAGTTTTTATTTTGCCAATAAAAATGATAGTGTTAATGATTATTTATATTATAATTATAATACACAATATTATTAAAATATTGTCTAAATATTTAGACTGATGCGACGTAATGAAAAAACAAACGATATTGCATAAGAAACGATCTTAAAACTTTTAATAAATTATTATCGTGATAATAAGTACGATAACAATTAAAAAATACGCTTCTGTACGAAGAAACCATTAAAATACATACTTATTGTCTAACATGTTTTTGCTGAATATATTATTCAATTCGCGTTAAACATACGTCTCTGAAAGAGGCATAACATACTTAATAAGTATTAAAATGCACTTTAATGCATGATGTAAGAAGATAAAATTGTCGACAATCTTATCTTCTTACATTATGTATTAAAGTGCCTTACATAATAGGCTAATATTGCGAAAAAAATATCTCTTTATCTATTAATCATTATTGTATCACATTATCAGTATAATCGATACTCTCGACGATACTGCGACGCATCGTTGATTCTCTTCATAATACTTGTTAAAAAAACGAGAAAAAGATGATGAGTCATCCTCGCAAGGCAGATATAATCACGCAGTCTCGTGATAACGCGCATCGCGAGTTTAACTAGCTCGGCGCAAGATGAAGAAACGAATCGTGTTATTCGGCGGCACTGGGAATACCGGTCTCTGTTCTCTGAGAACCGCCGTAGAAAATGGTAACTCTGCTGTTTATCTGCGCTATTATTGTATTACGTATTTTTTTCCAACCAACAATGTGCCGCATGCTCTTCGCAGTTGCACCACGTTACACCTTTCACACTTGAAACGGGGCGAATATGTATAATTAAACGTTAGACAGAAAAGAAAGAAGAACGGAAAGTACAAAAAGTTCAGCTACAAAGAACGAATCTATACATATTACATGTTGTAGTTGTTGCCAAAAAGTTCCTCGTTCTGTCACTCGAGATCACAATTTAAGAGATTAGTAATCATAAATAATTTAGAATATATAATTATGAGTTATATAGATTTATTTTATAGATCTACTTTTTATAATTAAAAATCAGAATCCAATAAATGATATAATTAATATTTCCTCCTATATCAAAATGTACTTGTGACATATAATTATTGTATGATTTTGTAATTTTTTGTGCATGTTAAATTAATTCTTTTTTATTTGTGATATTCAAATCAATTATTATACATATAGATATTTTCTTGATTATCTCTATTATTTAGGTCTGGAGGTGAGAGCTTTTGTAAGAGACAAGGACAAGGTTCCTGAGGATCTTAGAAATAAAGTTGAGCTAATTGTTGGAGATGTTACTAATGCAAAAGAAGTTGCAAATGCGGTAGCTGATAGAGACGCCGTTGTGGTAACAC